CTGTTGACTGTTGCTGTAGTTGTCTTTCTGCTGGGGGGGGGGGACGCCTTATGCCTCATGGGCCATGTAATGAGATGTGGTTGTTGTTTATGTTGTTGTTGTAGCCAGAGAGGATGTTGTTGTTAAGCTCACAGAGCATACTATAGAGTGTGGATATACACAATTTAAAATAGTCATTATTGTTATTATTATATCATGGCTCCAAGATCTGGAATGCTTTACCCTGTTATTTAAGAGAGGTCAAATCTTTTGTTTCATTCAAATGTCAGTTTAAGTCATTTCTGTTTTTGAATTTTGGAGAAAAATATATATATTTAGTCGGAACACAATGTACTGTTTTTTGTGTTGCAGTTGCTCTTGTAAAGTGCTCAGAGCCTGTCTTCTCTAATTGAGTCTGAGCGCTATATAAATGTCTTGTATATTATTATTATTATTGTTGTTGTTACTACTGTCATATCATTATTGTTCTTTAAGTTATCCCGATGTTTGTCCCCCCCCAGACTGATCGTGGGTTTCCTGCTGTCGAGCGCCGTCTTTGTGGGCTGCTACTTCCTGACCAGCACGTTCAGCTCGGTGGTTCTGGCCGCCTGTGCCGGCTACTTGCTCAGCACCGACCTCGGGGCTCTCGGCTCACAGGTAAACTTGTCGTTTAGTGATGACGGTGTTCCGTTGTTTCCCCTGTTGTTCCGTTATTTCTTCTGTATTTCCGTTATTTCTATTTTCGTTGTTTCCCCTGTATTTCCGTTATTTCTATTTTCGTTGTTTCCCCTGTATTTCCGTTATTTCTATTTTCGTTGTTTCCCTTGTATTTCCGTTATTTCTATTTTCGTTGTTTCCCCTGTATTTCCGTTATTTTCCCCAGAAGAACAGTTTATATTCTAAGTATTTCCGTTATTTTCCCCAGAAGAACAGTTTATATTTTAAGTATTTCCGTTATTTTCCCCAGAAGAACAGTTTATATTCTAAGTATTTCCGTTATTTTCCCCAGAAGAACAGTTTATATTCTAAGTATTTCCGTTATTTTCCCCATAAGAACAGTTTATATTTTAAGTATTTCCGTTATTTTCCCCAGAAGAACAGTTTGTATTCTAAGTATTTCCGTTATTTTCCCCAGAAGAACAGTTTATATTCTAAGTATTTCCGTTATTTTCCCCAGAAGAACAGTTTATATTCTAAGTATTTCCGTTATTTTCCCCAGAACAGTTTATATTCCAAGTATTTCCGTTATTTTCCCCAAAAGAACAGTTTATATTCTAAGTATTTCCGTTATTTTCCCAAGAAGAACAGTTTTTATTCTAAGTGTTTTTTTCTGTTCAGCCAAATGTAAATTGTTTCTATCGACTGTATTTTCTTTAAAAATGCAACTTTGTAAGTTTTTGACTATTTTCACATTTTGTCTTTGGATTTCTCATTTAAGTTAAGGGAAAGTGAGTGGTTGGAGAGTGCTCTGGTGTGGTTTGCTTCTTCTTTCCTAACAAACATCTATCATCCTTATCTCTCCTCCTTCTTTTTTGTGTTTGTTACTCTCTTGTAACACCTCTAATCTTCGGCATTTATATGATCTTATTGTGTTACAAGTGCCGTAAAACACTTACTAAAACTACACTGAGTTGAGGGATAATGTTGCAATATACTGAGCTTTCAGCCTGCTAGGGATTGGATGCCTTATAAATTTCCATTTATTGTTATTGTCATTTTTCCTTTCAGATCTGGGCGGCCTGTCAGAGAACCAACAACAACCGGGTCTCCTCAGCGCGACATTCGACCGCGCGAGCTTTGAACGCACCTCAGCCGACGGTGACTGGCTTCCTGTGGTCGTGGTGTTGGTCGACGGTCGTGTACCACGCGGCCATGACGGCTGTTGTTGGGGGCGTGGCAGCCGCGGTCAACTACCACGCCGACAGTCTGTCCTCCGACGTGGTCCGCTATCTGGGCTACGTGGTTATCGCGGCGTGTGTGGTGGAGAAGGTGATGCGCGACTCGCAGAGCGTCTACGTGCTGTTTGGCCTGTGGAGGAACGCCCTGTACCCACAGACGTCGGAGAGCTCTCGGTTGTTCCACAACGGCAAGAGGAAGTTGTTGGTGGTCGGAGTCTTTCGCCGCATCTTGTTGAACTGGGGTAGGTTGATTACATGTTGATGATGGGGGAAGGCTGTGTCCCTATTTTGTGCTGCTGGATATTTGAAAGTGGCATAGAAAGTAAGAATGTCAACATGGTAGGAAATGTTGTGGTTCCAGAAAAAAACAGAAACAAAAAAAAGCCCCTCCCGCGAAAGAGGAAATTTGTTTGGAAACAGATTGTGATGATGATGGCCAGATTATTTATTGAACACGTTTTGTTTTGATTGTTACTTTATGTTTTGTTTTTTGTTTTCTTCCTCTTCTATTGTTAGATGTTGAGGGGAGGTGCAATTTTTGGTCAAGGGCTAGGTGGATGGCTTGTGCTGTAGTTTGTTTTTTGTTTTAGTAGAGGTTTTACGGCACTCGCAACTGCATAAGGTTTTATGAGCGTCAGAAGATTAGAGGTGTTGCAAGAGAGTAACAAACATAAAAAAGAAGGAGGGGAGATACCGATGATAGATGTTTGATAGGAAAGAAGAAGCAAACGACACCAGAGCACCCGCCAACCACCCACTGCTGTAGTTTGCAATGACCTTCAATAATTGTCTTTTAGATTCTGTTGCTCGTCCAAAGTTTAGTCGTGCATGCCAAGATTTGAGAGGATTGAATCGAGCGATTTGTTGTGGTCTTGTTTTAGTTGTGGTCAAACAAATGGGAATGATCTGTTGTGGTATTTCTCGTTTGAGTCGTATGTTGTTGGTCATGACCTTCCCTCTGACCCTGTTCCAGTGTCGCCTCTACTGATGGTCGTCTACCTGTCACTGAGGGTCAAGGCCGCCGATGTCATGTCCGACTCGCTCATCTCCGGGCGGTCCACCGTGCTGGGAGTTTTCTACGTCTTTGGTGTGGTCAGAGCTTTCAGATGGGTGAGTTGTCTGGGTTTTTTTGGTCCCTGCCCATTCCTATCAAATGATAATAATGATAAACTACACTTTATCGATTCTAGTTTGGAAATTCAGGTTATCAACATACCTTGATAAGTACATCATTATACACACAAAGACGCACATTGAGATTTTCAAATATGCCATATTACACCAATGCAGACAATTTTTACGATTACGAACATGCCATTGCTGGTTGCCACTGTAGCGCCCTGTTTCTTTGAGCCAGGGTTATCCTGTCTTGCTCAAGGACACACCCCAGTGACCACCCGTCTAAACGCCGTGTCACCAAAACTTGCTTGACATTATGTTTGAGTAGGAGCTCACTGACCACTCGGCCGTCCTTTTGTGTGTAAATGCAACTTCCTAAATTTTCAGATATTTTCACCAAATCCTAGTGACGTCCCTGTTTTTCTCTTGTCATCCTGTTCCTCCTTCCTCCTCATTTTGTCCTCATCCTCTCCCTCCTTCCCTTTTATTCTTTCTTCATCCTCTGCCTCCTTCCTCCTTATTTTGTCCTCATCGTCTTTTATCTCCTTCCTCCTCATTCTATCATCCTCTACCTTCCTTCCTCCTCCCTCATCTTCTCCCTCTCTCTCTCCTCTCCCCCACAGAGCTGGCAAGGCACCACCCATGCCCTGCTAGAGACATCCGTTGTACACATCCTCTCTCTCATTCCTTCATCATCTTCTACCTTCCTCCCCACGCCCAACTAGAGACGTCCGTCGTACACATCCTCCTTGTGACCCTGTCCCTCTTTCCTCCTCATTCCTTCATCATCCTCCCCCTCCCTCCCGTCCACAGAGCTGGCAAAGCACCACCCACGCCCTATTAGAGACATCTGTCATACATATCCTCTCTCTCATTCCTTCATCATCCTCCCCCTCCCTCCTGTCCACAGAGCTGGCAAAGCACCACCCACGCCCTACTGGAGACGTCCGTCGTACACATCCTCTCTCTCATTCCTTCATCATCATCATCCTCCCCCTCTCTCCCATCCACAGAGCTGGCAAAGCACCACCCACGCCCTACTGGAGACATCCGTCGTACACATCCTCTCTCTCATTCCTGCATCATCATCTGCCTTCCTCTCTCTCCCTCACAGAGCTGGCAAAGCACCACCCACGCCCTACTGGAGACGTCCGTTGTACACATCCTCCTGGTCACCCTGTCCGACAGCACGCTGGTGACCTCCGACCTCAGCGCGCCGACCCTGCTCCTGATAGCCAGTGTGGCCCGCGACCGCTTCTACCAGCTCCTCAACAAGCTGTACTTGGCTCTGGCCCTAGCGGTCACTTCCTGGACGGACCGCAAGCAGAGGCGCGGCTCCACCATGCCCCTCATCGCGCTCAACCTGGTGTTCCTGCCCGTGCTGCTGGCCGTGGTGGCGATGGCCTCCGCGCTGTCCGCCCCGCTGCTGTGTCTCTTCACGCTGCCGCTCTACTTCATCGGCTACCCGCGCCTCTCCCGCTTCTGGCCCGAGCCCGTCGGGTCGTCGGCAAACACCTGCCCTGACAGCCTCTACTACCGACAGCTCTCCCTCGAACTGGCCAAGGCGCTCAGACAGGCTTTTGCCAACGGCAGCTTAGGTGAGTTTTCAAAAAATTGTTTTATCGAACGACGACACCTTCTCACTTATAGATCCAGGCTAAAGATTCAGAACTCTTTTTATGATAATAGTAATTACAAATATTATAATAATAGTAATGATAATAAGAATTGTATTTTTTTTATAGGGCATATCTATGCTCTTTGTATTTTACAACTCTTTTATTACCTCAGCAGACCCTAGAACGCTCAGAAACATTCTTGGCTTTCCAGAAAGCATACAGTGTAAGCAACTGATAAAGGGCTCATTATTATTATTAATATTATTGTTAAAATTATATGATGATGATGATTATTATTGTTATTCGTCGTCATCTTCTTCTTCTTACTATTGTTATTATTACTATTATTATTATAATTGTTAAAATTGTTTGTTGCTTTTATTATAATTATATTTAACCCCCCCTCCCCCCTCCCCCCCCCCATTTATGTCCCCTCAGGTGAGCCCCAGGTGGGCAACCACTACCTTATGAGGTTCCAGGACCGCCTGGTGTGGACCATGATCCTGGAGCGAGGGGCCGGCTACTGCAGTGTCAGTGTGAAGGGATTGGAGCTACAGGAGACGTCATGTCACACCGCCGAGGCTGCCAGGTGGGTGGTTGGTGGGGGGGGGGGGGTGTATGGGTGGATGGTTGGTGGATGCTCTGGTGGGGTCTAATGTGGTTTGCTCCTTCTGTCCTTTCAAACATCTGTCGTCTTTATCTCTCCTGCCCCCCTTCTTTTCTCTGTATTATATTCGCTAGAATTACATCTAATCTTCAGCACTCACATGGTCTATTTCTGTTACAAGTGCCGTAAAACTCTCAAGAAAGAGAGGGAAAAAACTACTGAATCATAGTTCAGAACCACAGTATTTTCTGCTCCTAATGCGGGTGGTTGGAGGGTGTCACTGGTTGGCCTTTTTTCTTAACTTTCTCTCCGTTGTTTCTGTGTCTGCCTTTTATACTTTTACCCTGCACTGTCTCAAGGTGCTTCTCTTTACTCAAACAAACTCTGCTCCTTACGTAATGTTTCTTTGTGGTTTTTGTGCATTTTCGCTTCTCCAGAATCATGGGTGGTTGGTGGGTGCTCTGGTGTGGTTTGCTCCTTCTCTCTTATCAAACATCTATCATCCTTATCTCTCCTTCTTTTCTTTGTACGTTACTTTCTAGTCAAACCTCTAATCTTCAACGCTTGTACATGTTCTATTTGTGTTGAAAGTACTGTAAAACGCTTACTCTTCTGCAGTTTTGAGCACTGTCAAATTCTTACCACACTCTTACCACACTCTTACTCAACTCAAACTCTTACTGAAAGTAAAAACTAATATCCCCCCCCAGGGCAGTGCTACTGACGGAAGTTGTCTTTAGGGCATTCCCAAAGGGGGGATAATGATGGCTGATTTATCAATGTCATGCTCATACTGTGCCGGAACAACATAGGGGGAACTGCTGCTCTTTCTTTCTTCGTCCTTACTATCGTCATTTTTCATCTACTTCTTTTGTATGTTTATCACTCTCTTGTGACCTGCTATTTCCGGGGTGCCTTGATAGTCGAAGCAGACTTTGTGCTGTTGAGGCTAGAGAGGTGAGCAGAGTAAGTCTGATTCCTCGTTTGGACTTCTCTGTTGACATCCACCCCTTGGCGCTCATATGACCTTATGCAGTTGTCAGCGCCGTAACACCTTACTAAAATAAGAAAGAAAAACCCCCCACCTATTCTTATGCAGTTTTGAGCGCGGTAAAACGCTTACCAAACTCCAACTCCAACTCTCACTGAAAGTGAAAACTAATGTGTCTGTTTGTGCTTGCGTTTGCTCTCCCAGAATTGACGACCAGTTCAAAGAAGCGTTTGAGCGCCCGGCGGACGACGTGGGCGTGTGTACCTTCAACAGCTACCCTCTACACAGTCTGACGCCCTTAGACACCGCCGAGGTGAAGGCCTACTCTGACGCTCGGAACATCCTCACGGGGGTCATCGACTCGCCCGACGCCGTCGACGTGACCTTGACCTTCTTCGCCAAGAGCCTGGTGTGGCTGCTGCTCCACCACATCAACCGACGCAAGCGACAAGAGGAGGAGAGTCGCAAACAGAAGGAGCAGGAGCTGGCCCGCATGGAGGAGTTCGGCAAGAATTCCTCGGGCAAAGACAGTATGGGCGGCGACTGGATGAAGATGAAGATGAAGAACAAAGAGAGACAACTGCCCGCACTGCGTAGCTCGGCCACCGCGGCAGCACCTCTGCCAGAGATCAACCACAACGTGATGACTCCGGCCGCCGCGAAAGCGATCCGAGGAGTGGGAGGGGGTGACAGTTTTGTCCTGCCCCCGATCAACGGGAATAAGACGAGCCTGGTTCAGGGGCCGCGGCCGCCCTCGCGAGATTCGAACCCCTCGCGGAAAGGCTCGGTCACATCCTCGCTTCACAGCTTCACAGACAGTATTTGGTCAGACGACGATTTTGACCGCGGGAGGAAGGCGGGCCCGACGCGACGGCAGCACAAAGTGGCCACGGTTGTGTCGGTGGGTGGGGGCGGTGGTGGTGGGGGCAGCTCCCCTCTCCCACAGCCCGTCATGACCTCCCTACCCCCGCTGCTCCCCGGGAAAAAGTCGTCCAGCGCCTTCAACGACAGCGGGACAGGCAAAGACATTGACGATTTCCTCACGGACATGGACTTTGGCCTGCCCGCTGTGGACGTCAACACCACTCACACTGTGCCAGATTTTGACGACGACGGCCCTTCTAGCAAGCCGCAGCCTTTGGCCGGCAGGAAGCCGCCGCCCCCAGTTTTTGCCCCGAAGCCTTCTACGAGGTTCGCGGCTGTCACAAACGGCAACCACATCTACCGGCCCGTGATGAACCTGGCTGGCAGTCCGGACTTCAAATGTCAGAGTTCTAGCTACATGAGGTGAGTGACACGGGCACACAGGGCTGTTTATTATAGATAGACTGGGGGAGGGAAGGAGGGGGGGGGCGTCGGTGGTCTATAGACGAGATACCTAGCGACACTGGCACACACAGGGCTGTTTGTTGTAGATAGACTGGGGAAGAG